GTCTAAAAAAACTGAATTCATAGTTGTAGTTTAAAAGTAATTCTCCTGCAGGGTACTTCATAGGATTTTGGAACCATGGTAAAATACTTTAGGTGCCAAATTCTGTGGTGAAGCTTTGAAATGTTTAAAACCAGTGTGAATGTGATCAGTGTGTAATAATTACAAGACTAGGCATCCTTTAGTCTGAGAGTCAGTCTGATTCCTGATTATCTTCAATGATAGAAGTAACAGATCATTATCAGTTGTCTTACCAGAAAGTTCGTTGATAATCTAATTAAAGATTTTTATTGCAAAATGTAAATATAAAAGCCAGAATGATCAAACTTGACCAATTTACAGGTTATTTGCTTATTGCTGATCCATAAATATGCAATTCAGTCTGATAGTATTCTCATTTCATAGATGTGTTGTATATCTGCTTGTTTGTTAATTTTCGGTATAAATTCTTTCCGAGGAACTTCAGCGATACAAGTCCCTTCTTGATTAAAACTAGTTTATTCTTACTTGATACAAACTTTGTAATACACAGTAATTTCACAATCAATTCATTTCTCATCTCTTTACTTAACAACCTTTAAAACACACGCTATAAATCACAGTGATTCACATACTTTACTTACGGTGCCTACTGTTCGCTTAACTCAATTATCTATCTATCTCTTCAATCGTGCAGATTTTTCTCGCCAGGCTTATATACTAAAAATAGAGCATCTCGAATGCACTTGGGCCTTCGAGAAACTCCAGCGTGCATGCTCCAAGCGTCGCATGACTTCCGCTGTCGTAACACTGCCCCTTCCTTAGTATTGTTCATCCCGAACAATAGCCACTTACATTAAAGCAATAGATAATTAACAATAACTTGATCAAATATACAGAATTTACAAACACAAAATTGAAATACAACAAAGTCTCTTAATTTTATAGGACATTTCTTCTTTTGTACTGTTCTCCGTATCATTCATGTGGGATTCATCTGCTCCATCAGAAAATGTCCCATTATCAGTAGCAGTCACATCAGTGGTAGTAACTTCATTAACTGCTTCACAGTTTTCCTTCTCAAAACCAGGTACAGTTTCTTCTCCGACAGTGGCTTTTTCAGGTGACACGTCTTCAGCAGCATCATTTATTCTCTTGTTCACTTCGTTCCAACTGAAATGTCCTGGACCATGATAACTCCAAAGCCTGTTGCCATGCACCACCTTTGGCTTACCTCGCTGATCCACAATGTCATATGGGCCTTCCCATGGAAAAGACAACTTAGAAGACTTCCCTTTGGTCTTTCTGGGATTATATAACCACACCTTGTCTCCTGGTACAAAGCTGACTTCAGTAGATTTCTTATCATAACATAGCTTCATGGAATCAGCAGAAGTTTTTAAGTTTGATGATGAATATCATCCATCCTTTCAGATTACACTTTCACAAACTCTGGCACATTTTCAGACAACTCTTCATAAGGTGGGCATCCTGTTATCAGGTCCACTGGCAACCAAAG